CTATCATCTGTACTTCTTATGAATTGGAATCCTTGGGCTATATTTGTTAATAAAACTTTGCGCTGTTAGGATCTCCGTGCAAACACAAACTTTAAATGGTTTAATGTACTAATAACAATTTACAAACTGTCATCACTCACTTCAGTTAATATCACATAAACCTTTCCACATGTGAAAATATATAACCATGAATTGTTTAAAAAAAACTGCTACGTTCACAACATAATTGTTCATAAACAGTAATGATAAAATATATGAATCCAGTCACAGGAAGAGATGGTGCAGATTCATTTTGTCATTGGAAGAACGTGTAAACTTAACTTAAAATTTCTTGTTTAATCTCCTATATTAAATTGGTTTCATACAGGAAGTTACAAGAAGCAACAGAAAACATGTTTGGGAGGTGGGGGGAGTATTTCAGCTGTGACATTTGGCCAATAACCTGTCACGTCCATCAGCAAAACATATATTAAAATAAATCATATCTTTGTCATTAACAGAACCATAATTTTTAAATCAGATTTCAAATTACAAATACTGAAACAAGCTTTCTGTCTCTCAATGTTTAAAAAAACAAACAAAACAAAACAAAACAAAACAAAAAAACCAGAACCAGTGCTATTTTAAAAACATCTAACAAGATTAAGAGGTGAGTGCCACATAACTCTCTCACCCATGACTAGCCGTTTGAAACACAAAAAGAGGCCATTTCTATGGAAATCCAATGTTTACACGCATGGGAGAAGTCTATTATCTGCCATTTTGAAAATGTGCACAGTGCTTCCTGGGGTTTCTACCTCATATTGCTCTCAGCATTTTCTTCCTTGTTTTCTTCTTTCTCCCCTGTGCTCATCCAGAGGAAAAACAAATGGTTTAAATGTCCTTTTGCCTGATTAAGCAAAAACCCTTTCTGCTTCTTCTACATCTATATATTGCCAGAGAAGTTTCCCCACTAGTGTCCCCAAAGTACCTCTTTCAGAAGCTGAATGGGGTCTTTTTCACCTTGAAAGCATTTAAATGGAGTTGCTAGGATTGGACTCTCCTCTCCCCACTCTTGCAAGGTATGTCAGGAGTTCAATGGTGTCTTGTGAAGCGTGAAGTTATACAGGGGAAGCAATGTGACTACGGCAAGAGAATAAAGTGACAGTAATGCATTGACAACACCACTCATCGCCCAGAAAGTAAAATACATCTCTTGAAAAGAGACATCTTGCGATGTTTAGCTTTGATTTTTTTAAGAGTCCTACAAAAGTATCCCAAGAGGTATGGTACACTTTGAAATTTAAAGAACAGGTTTGATCCAGAAAAGCACAGCAACACGGGAACTCGAAAGAACCTCAGTGGAGACAGTTATTCCCATGGTTTTTGATTTGCATTGCATACTTACTTTATTCACAGCCTGCTGGGTCTGGAGGAGAAAATCTGCCTTCTCAAACTCAAGGAGACAAAGGGCAACGTTTCAGAGTGAGGAGCCAATAATCTTTGCCCTTAAACAGGTGGGATGGCATACAGTGATGTCCCTGCGCATGTGTTAGATGACGGCCTTTTCTGAGCAGCATCTACTCTACTCTATGTACTGTAGTTGTTCTACAGCCTAATTCTGTGTAATTATTCCCACTTTGTTATGTAAACTCAAATTTACAACTGGTAAATTCAGTAACCATGATGCCAATGCCAATCACGTTGCCCTAGCCTTAAAGAATCCAGGTCAGAAAGGAACACAGAGGTTTGCCCCAGCGGAACCTCATTCTTTTTCCTGTGAAGCTGTTTTTCTCAGACTTCACACTCTTACTGTAATAGGCCCAAGTACAGTAGTAGACAGACATTCCTTGTGACTGTGCCTGCTGTGTTGTTGTGTTGTTACAAAAGAGATCCCAAGAGAGTGATTTGTTCCTTCGTAAGTCAGTCAGACCTTCACAATTTTAGATTTCCATTCTAGTTTTTTTATAAGCTTCCAACTACATCATGTTGTATTTGGAAGGAAGGTCAGACCATTTTTCCATGACATGTATAAAAAAAACCACACCCACACATGATCCTTATAATTCATAATGTTCAACCCTGAAAATAGGGGGAGGAGATGAAGGGAGAAACTTCCTACCACAACAAAATACTTTTTTCATTGCAACTGAAGCATTGCACTGTTTTGGAATACATTGATCCTTGAGATAGCAATGCAATGGACTTGGAACCTGTCCAGGGTATATTCTGCCTTTTGACCACCCCCCCTCTGGGATATGCTACGGCACTATCCCAGAGGGTGCCCACTACCACCCTGTATCCTAGCTGAATGAGCAGTTAACAGAATGGAAGGATGGATGAATCAATACAACTTCATGTATCTTGTGGAATAAACTAAGAAACAAAATGATTCAGTGATCTCCATTAACTAGTCTGGTTTGTTAACCTAGTATTATCAGTCCTAGAACTAATTGCTTTTAATGTTTATGTGATCTGTATTACTTAATTAAGTAAGACCATGTGTAGGATATTATTCTATTGACTTGTAATTGACGTTTTTTGTTTGTTTGTTTGTTTGTTTGTTTTCTGGAAAGTATTTGGCTTTTATATTGTAGAAAAAAACAGTAAGTATAATATAATACTTACTTTTAATAGTATAAAAGCAAGAAAAGTAAAAAAAAATGCTCTTTAGAAATTGAAAATGGAAAACACACACACACACACACACACACATATATATAGATATATAGATATATAGATATTATTAAGGTGCTGAGTGCAGTGGCAATGCCTTGAAAATCCAAAAAGTCACTGATCTGAGCAATTTTTATAATAGTTTTATTATATCAATTACTCGGATCACTAGTTTGATTTTCAAGGCATTGCCACTGCACTCAGCACCCTGAGCGGTTAGACAGAGGTTTGACACTTGTATGCAGGTTTGGACTTTGTGGTCAGGACACATGTCTACTCTGTCTACTCTCAGTAAGGCTGAGTGTGAGTGTGTTGAGCACACTGTCACACACACCATCTGTTACCTCTAACACTTCTGGCTTGGACAAACACAGCTATGAGCAGGTAATGGTGCAGACAAAACTTCTGACCTTGACACTGTCTCCTATGTGTGATCAGCGCGGGGAGAGAGGTAGATTGATGAGAGTCTTTTTGATTTTGGTTTGTGTGAGAAAGGCAGCAGAATCCCACGTTGCCTGGAAACCTATCTATCTTGTAGTATGTGATGAAAGATGGGGTCTTTCTCTGCCTCCCTTATCTTATTCAACTTCAAGATAAACATCAAATCACCACACTCAATAAATGTATTTCTTTTTTTTTAACCTTATGCAAGATCTCACATGCCAATACACAAATACTTTTGCAACATAACCTTTTTCAGTTGCATTCATTCATCTATTTTAATTGAGGGATACTTAAAAATACTTTGACTTAATAAGTAACTTAATTAATAACATTTGTGATTTTAAAATAAAGCACAGAACAAGCACCATATTATAAAATATGTGTTTGCATGATTCAGTGTTAATGATGAATAGCAGCATTATGTATCAAGCTATTTGCCACAATTGGACTCACCACGTTCTTGAAGATTCCTCTACTTGTCATTAAAGTTCACCTTGATGGATTCTGTGAGGTTTTTAATTTCTTGAAAAGCCTATTTATTATCTCCTCTTTGCACTTCCGAGAGGAAGGTCTCGCTGTAGGCTAAGATCACTTTGAACATCAAATTTTGAAAAACTGTCATTTGGTGTCAGGTCACTTAAAGCGACCATTCCTTTGTGGTTTGGCAGGAATGGTAATGCAGTACTTTATTCCTCCCAGATGACACTTAATGGCAGTAATCTAGTTTTGGTAAAGGCTTGCCCTTTTAAGGCAAAGAGTTATAGACATAAAAGAGGTCTCCACAACACCAAGAACAAGGCTGCTGCCATAGGAAAGAAAATATTTTGAAAACACAATTGTGTGATAAATGAGATCTATCCAGTGTAAATAATTCTGTTCACTTTACACCCCTTTCATACAGACTAATTTTAGCCATTGTCCGCAATTATTATTCGATCTACTGCTGTGAACACAGCACTAAAAAAATGCTTTAATTTCACTCGCCAGATCAATAGCACCTGATACAGCCTCATCTCATTCTCATCTAACAGTGAGGCACTGCGTTTATAATGCTATTGACAATATTGAGCAGTATTGACGAAAAAACTGGATAAGAGCCTCAGGCAGCGGGCAGGAATGAAGTGCCATTTCTTCACAGCTGTACACCTTTGTAATAGCTCTCTCAACCGTGAACATGAAAATAAAATGCCAGCTACTAAAAATCAGACAGCTTTGTTTCAATCGTTTTACTCAACCGTTCGTGTCTTTTGGCGGGGTGACGCAGGGTCAAGTTCAGGAGGAGACAAATGATAACAGAAATGATGCATCAGCTCTGCGAGAGCACATCTGCAAGATAAAGGAGGAATGTTTGTGTGCTGGATAAACAAAATGGCTCTAGTATATCTAGTTGCAGGTGCAATGTTGGGAATGGAAATAATGTGTTGGGGGATCTAACACCGAGTCTCTAAAAGTATACACCGAGCAAGTGTATGTTACGCATTCTGATGTTTTAATTCATTCAAACGGAGATGAACTAGCTAAATATATATTTATACATATATAATAACATTTTGAAATAACAGTTAAGAATAATAGGGCGTGCTTTAAGATCTTATCAGTCCAAGTACATACAAATTGAATGAAAGGAAATAAAATCTAATAGAAGCCAGCCAAAACAGCGCGCTTTCATTTACTCGACACTCATCATGTTGCTGACTATGCCTATGAGTATATCAGCTGTCTGTGATCTCCTTGAAAAACAGAAAGAAAGAAAACGACTCCTGACCATAGATGTACCAGTTCAGATCTAAACTGCTGCTGAGTTTTAATGCTCGGATTTATTGTGCTTGTTACATTCGCGCGGCTTTTTCTCCCAGGGCAGGAGAGAGGAGAGGAGGGGCTGAGCTGTGCTGTGCTGCACCGTTCAGCTGCTCACCTCTCACTGAATCCCGTCTCCACCTTTCATCCCTCAACTTGTCCCACGTAGGGATGGATGAGTTCCACCGCCGTCGGACCTTGTAAAGTATCAGACCAATGCGTCTGAACTGGGGGACCGACAGTCACTGGAGGGTCTTTGGGCGTCGGTGATGTTTGCAATTGGTGACTGCAGAAACTGCCAACGTGTCGGCGAGTCGACAGACCACAGCTTACTTGTGCGCTCTTGGAGTGGGAGAATGGACATGTGAATGAGAACGATTTCCCTCGGCGGCTACAAAAACTGTTTTGGTTCTTTTAGTTCACAAATCGTCACAAAGTCTCACAAGTGAAAACAGGATTGATGAGATTCTTTTTCATTTTTTCTTTTTTTGTTTCTGCTTGAGGAGGAATTCATGCGCCGATAGCTTACGAGGCCAATATGCCAGAATGGGTCCTCTACAGTATTTATTTCTCTGTGGACTTCTGCACACCCAGACCTATGGTAAGTTCATACAGTGCATGCATCTCTTACTTAGCGTCGTGGTTAAAAGGATGTCTCGTCCCACGTTATGCTATAGAAAGAATAGTCAACTGTGACCCGATGCGTATTCGACCACAGTGATTCCAGCTTAAGTCCACCAAGAAGATACTGAGTATGGTACACGATTAACAGCTGGCACCCTTCAATTCTCGGTCATCATATTATATACTTTCTTCTCTTTCTTTTTAGTTTAGCCCCTGTATAAGATATTGTTCCAGACCAACTATTTAATGGTTAGGTAGACAAAGTGATTATTTATTTATACGGGGTACCCTTGGCTGAATAGATGTCTTACTTGAATTAAATGGTTGACAGCTTATCAATATTGAGTAATCTGACAAAAAAAAAAGAAAAAGTCCAGGCAGCCAAACTTAACTTTCCCCCCCTATATTATCTGAAAAAATAATATTTTCTGCTCCTTCAGTGTCATGTTCTACTCATATCGAAACCTATAATGGCTCCTGCTGGACCCACATATTGCTTTAATTCTCTTTATCTTGCGTCAGATACGTGGCCTCACGTTCAGGTTGATCAGTTAACTTAATGGACCTTCTGCTGTCTCAAATTTGAAATGTCTAGTCTGATGTGGAGGCAGTGTACCTTCACATAGTCTTAAAATCTCTCCCAAAGTGTGCATGTGCTCAGTACAATGGACCTTTTAACATAAACACTGTATGCACAAAAATTCATTTGCACCTTTACATTTCAAGAATCTTGTGTTGTTCAATCTCCTGAAGTGTTTTGTGCTACTTTGTCCCATATAGCACAAATCTGTGTCAGTAGAGTAAATGTGTGCAGGTGTAAGCACTACACAGCACATAAAGTGGCTTTTGAAACGGGTGTTTCCTGTACACTGGAAATGCTGAGTTTATATGGTACAGCGTGTCAATGCAGCACACAAGAGCAGCAATCATCTCATCTTTATGAAACCTGTAGTTGGGGGGCGGGTGTTGATTGAACGCTGAGGTCATCACAGGAGTTGAAGTTTGTATTGGACTCCTGCTGACAGGTGTTTCCGGTGATTGGCACACCACATTTTTCTATACATTTACTGGGTTGAATCAGCACATTCTGGCAGTTACATCATAAGCCATTGTTAATGCATGTCTGTTGCATTGGTTTAAATTGGTTTCTTTGGATATATATGTATTAATATGGAGATATATGCTAATACACATCCAGCATACCCATTCTTATGTTTTCAGTTAATGGAATCTTCCAAGTTATAAGCTGAAGCTTTTACTGGTAAAACACTGTCAGCGTAACCTGGTTTTTATCAAAGTGTCCACTGCATGTAAGCTCCCAAATAACTACTTATTTTCTGCAAGGCTTTGAGCGTGTGCTTCAGCACCATGGATAGTTCTCACTAAACGGACATACTTGGGAAGAAAAATGAGCCTCAAAGGCTGGACCTGGACAAAATATTTTAAAAAATATATTTTAACTGTTCTAAATGTATCTAAATATAACTCTTTACTTTCAGACTCCATTAAATTATATCTGCCTTTTTAACCCCCATTTTACAGTTACATAAAAAAAAATTCCCTTCTTTTTTCACTCATTTACATTCAGGGTCATAGTGTGCATGGAGCCTGCCCCGAGTAAGAAATAGACAACCCCCTGCTGATGAGATGCCAGTCTATCACAGGGCCAACAGACTGACAGGACCCCACAGGACCTTCTTGCTGTTAGATGACAGTACCAACCACTGAGCCAATGTGCCACCCACAACTTAAATCATCTAATTTAAATTCTGTTGTCTGACAGAACAAGCCTCAAACTCTGCATTAGCTACTGTGGAGACCGGGTAATGGGAAGACCAATTAAACAAAGCCAGTATTTCACAAAATATGTGTTGGTGTGACTTTGCAGACCCACACAAATGTTATAGATTATAGAGTTTTAAAAGCATTTTTAATACGCAGTGCATCTCCCTGCTTTGGCATGCTGGTGCCAGCTAATGGAACGCTTTTTGTCAGCAAACCTCTTAACATTATAGACCATAACATCAATTTTTATTCACTTTTATGACTTTATTTCAGTTGCTGTAGAGCAGCCAATGATCACGGCTGCCTGTGCAGTTTGTATGATTTGTCCCCCTCACAGTTAAAAAGACAAGAGAGTGCCAAACATCACTTTCATTTATTTATTATGTATCTTATTTATTTTCTCCTTAAGACAGTCGAAAAAGTACGTTCTAGCGACTTAAACACTACACACTTGACTTGTTTGTATGCACACGACAGAGAAGACCTTTTAACTCAGATATTATAATGTGCTCATACACCATGGAACAGATGAAAGTTGTGAGACTGTCATGTCGGTAAACAAACACAGTGCTACTACATTCGGGTCATTACTCTGTGACATTTAGAGGTGGAATATATGAAACACCACTGAATTGGTCAATAAATGGAAAAAAAAAAATCTGACATTCCCGTGACATTTGATGGAGATCAGCTATCAAATACTGGGGGTTAAAACGTAAATATTATTTATGGCGAAATATAGCCGTTGATTTGAAAAGCACATAGTGAACTTTGCACATCCTTAGTGTAAAAAGTACAAATCAAAAAATCCATTGTAGCAGCTGCTGTTATACACCCACTGTGACAACATGTTTGATGATGTCAGGGTTTGACGGAACGTGTTAATGAAAAAGTTAATAAGATGTAATGACTCCTCAGCTCCTGTCTGTGAAAGTAAATATGGAAGCTTCAGTTTAGTAACACAGCATATTGTAGAGCAAATAAAAACCTGACACTAATCAGCTTTCTTTTTTTTTCCAGGTACTGTAATCACATTATACTTTGTGTGTTCCACCAATCATATTTACAAATTGATGCAGAGGCATGATTTACAGTTTAAATTGCAGTGCAAATTATTATTTTAGTGACAGATGAAAACCATTACTTATTTTCCAACATAATTCCCCAAGATTTCTCTCTGTCATCAGCTGTCATTATTTTAATCAAAAGAAGTATGATAATCAACAATTCCCTGTTTTTCTCTCTTTTTTTTATTTTAGAGAAACTGTGATACGCCAGTATTGCTTTACTGCTGTTGTATGACACAGTGCATTCTGAGTGCCTATTAACTTTTAAAGGTTGCTCATTTGTAGTTGCTATTGCTATTTTTGGTAACTCAGGGGCTACCAACCTTTATCCCAAACACACTGTTGGTTAAAAAAGAAATATATGTGTATATGAAATAAACATTATCATCATTCCTTTCCTTTAGGGTCTCGTCTTCGCCAGGAAGACTTCCCTCCCCGCATTGTGGAACACCCTTCTGACCTCATTGTGTCCAAGGGGGAGCCAGCCACTCTCAACTGTAAGGCAGAGGGTCGTCCACCGCCTACGGTGGAATGGTACAAAGACGGGGAGCGTGTTGAGACAAACAGGGAAAATCCCCGTTCCCACCGTATGCTGCTTCCCAGTGGGTCCCTCTTCTTCCTGCGCATCGTTCATGGACGACGGAGCAAGCCAGACGATGGCATCTATGTTTGCGTGGCCCGAAACTATCTGGGGGAGGCCAAAAGCCGGAACGCGTCTCTAGAAGTAGCACGTAAGTTTGACTTTTCATCGTGCCCCTCTAGGCACAAAGGTAATAACATGGTCAAAGAAATCTCAATGTTGCATGAAAAAAAAGGGAAATAAATGAATATGGAGCATGGGTGAGGGTGGTAACCTTTTGTGGGGTATATGAAAATATGAAAATGTGCTAATATTGCATAAAAAAGTAGAGGTTAAATTAAGCAAACAATGTGGAGCTGTTGTGCTACCGTATATGTCATCTGATGTCATCTGTCACAGTGCACGCAAGATCACATAACCTTTCCGCTGAACCTACAAGTGTGTGTTAATTTACCCAGCCGTGTGCATAACGTGTGTGCGCATATGTGTGTGAATATGTTTCCTGACTGCTAGTGAGACCTGTTTGGATGACCTGTTTGAGTAATGTATGGGCAAAGCTGTGAATCGCTCCAGGGAGGGAGAGCAAAAGGAGGCAGGATTTTAACCCAGCGAACTCCCTTTCAGTGTTTGGATTTGGAAAGACGCGGCCAGCTCCCAGCCAGTTCTCTCCCTGTGTGGGAGAAAGGCGCTCTGGGCTATTCACATTTCCATTATGTGCTAAACTGAGCTGATTTCTTGCCATGAACAAGATGCACACACGCTCGGACGCACATGCATGCACACAAAAACACCCACACCGTCTCCCCTGCTCTGTGTTTATCATTAGCACAGATGGGGAATTCCATGCAAACAATATATTGCAATTTGGTTTTAAAATAATAATTTTAAAAAAATGGCATTCTGTTATATTTGCTTTTTGAATTCCAAAATCGGTGAATATAAGACATGAACCTAATGACTTGACTATGATGTACTACAATTACATTACTACAGTTAAAACAAGAACATGTCAGAGTCAGAATTATGGCACTGTTGTGGCTTCAGCTGATTTGTCACCCTTGGCGTTATGGGCAAGTCACAGAACAGGAAGGGAAAAAAACTGAGATAAGAACCATGAAGCTAATTGTAGCTCAAGACATTATCTGAAATCTCTGTGCCTTCTTTTTGTGCACCACATGATCTCTTTGCCTTATTGCTGTATTCAGTCCCCGTTGTCTTGTGTTTCTGTTGTCTTCTTTTACTGATGATACCTCGTCTTTGTTTCAAGGCAGTGAACTGTCCTGGAAGTGCTGAGGCTTAAGAAGATGCTGGCAATGTAATAGGACATACAAATCGAGCCATAAGAACGAGTGTGTGTCTGTGTGTCTGTGTGTATGTGTGCGTCAGAGGATACAACATTGGCTTCCCCATACAAAACGAGACATTGTGGTGTCGGGTATTATAGCTGGTATTATCTAGCATCCCTGTCTCACTGTAATCGGAATTTACACTGCACTTTGTATCACATTTACACTGCACTCCTTGAGCTGTACAGTTGTCTTTGAAGATAGTGAATAATTCTTTCTCATAAAGAAACCAGAGACCCAAAACTGTCGTTATAGTGTCAAGAGACACATCTTCTGGCGGCTTCACTGATTCCCTTGACTGAATAGATGCCTACTTTATGAGCACAGTGACTCTGTCAGAGTGATTTTGTGGGGATTTTCTGGTTCTCCCTAAACACAATAAAGCTCGTGTGTATGTTGTAGCTCAAACAGGCATTCTGAATTCATTTTCTGAGTTAATTCTCACATTCTTTGTCACTGTTAAAGCTGCAGCTTCTTATAAATTGTTTCTTGGTTTGTTTTTCGTGAGAAACCTATGTTATGTGTAGCAACCATACATATGTTGTAAATGTGACTTACCAAAAATAGAGTAGCAACACCTAAATATTAGAAAATATAGAACTGTCTTCCTCAGCATGGCTCAGCAAAGCTTTAATATTCTTTGAAATGCATGTTTTGTTGCATATCATAGGACACATTCTTGAATCCACACCAATTGGTTTATATTTTTTGTATTCAAAGCACCATCATGATTATTTTGAGGACATTTTGAAGGATCAGTGTTGGCTCTGAGGAGTACACCTCATGAGTACACTTCGTATTTCTAGATAGAGCCATACATATTTGGAGAATGACACTTTTTTGTGTGTATTTTTTCTTTCTACATTTAAATCACACAAGCGAGATGTGATTTGAGTGCAAACTTATGGCAGTAATTCAATGGATTTACCAAAAGTAAATTAAATGACTGCCTGAATTCTACAACCCATGGACATCACGAAATGTTCTTTCTGCTCTCTAAGTCCTTTACTGCCACCACCTTTAGTTCCTGTTTTTTGTGGGTCTTTTTGCCTTCAATTTATTTTTCTTTAATAAAAGAAAAGTACGCTCTTTTGAGCCGAGATCAGGTGACTAACAAGGCCATTGAAGAGTTTCCCATTCTGTTGCCTTGAGAAACTCTTAGGTTGCTTTTGCTGCACTCTGATTAATTATATATTTGCACTGTGAAGTCCTGTCTGATCTGTTTTGCAGCATTTGGCTGAGTCTGAGCAGAGAAGTAGCACTAGCATAGCCTGCTAGTGCTACTTCTTTAAGCAGTCACATCATCAATAACCACTCGGTTCCACAGGCAGCCATACATGCCATAACATTACTTCAACCATGTTTGACAGATGATGTGGTATGCTTTGGATCACAAACTGTTTCTCTTCTTCGCCATACTTTTCACTCCTGATGATTGTAGAACAAGTTAAGCTTGGTTTCATATGTCCAAATATATATATATTTTTTTCAAAACGTTTCAGATTTTTTCTGGCAACGTCAATTGACCAATATTTACATTTATGTAGACGACTTTGACACTGATGCATCTACCCCCACAAGATGATTTGGTTAGATGTTACTTTTTGGTGTTGCTGTTCTTGTCAGTGCATTTGTTCTTTTTTAGCAGTGTATCAGATGTTTAATTTCCCAATTCTAACTTTATTATTTTGATTTCCACCCTAATAATTGCCTTCACATGAATCAATCTTCATTGATGTACAGAAGCAAAACTAAAAACAAAAAATAAATGGTCCAAATACTCATTAATCTATTTGTACAGCTCAGTATATCTTGTCTATTATAAGGAAGCCCAGAATAGGATCCACATATTTTCAGTATTTATTATATTTACAGTAACTGCCTTGTGTACATAATGTTAAGGGATCATTTTTGTTTTCCACGGCCTTTCTTACATAAAGGACAGTACATGCCGGGCAGATTTTAGTCTTCTCTGTGTAATTCAGAATATCATGGCTACAGGGATGCATAATCACATGACTCCTCCAGGGACTGCAGGTTCCTGCCAGTATTGCTGCAGCCAAAGTTGTCATGCAATGCTCCGGGTGGGAGCAAACGGGTATATGAAAGTGCTGTGGGGATGATCTGACAGTGAGTGTAGCTCTAGAATGGTCTGTTTCTTTAGGAGTCCACACACATCCTCCGATTTTCTAATGGGCTGTAGCATTGTATCTTAACCAGTGGCTCAGAAAATGCAGCTAACTAGAGGGGTGCTGCTCCCTCGGGTACATTTGTGCTATACAAGCTCAATTTTGGTGGTTCGTCATGCATTTTGTGAGCTTGAGTCTGAGTGAAATTTGAAGAGACATTATTCATTCCGTGTGATGCAAAACACTTCAGCTGTTTAAGATGGCAGCAAAGCTTAAAATATGTAAATTATGCAGATATGCCAGACAAACCTACAGCTGACAGCCTGGCATCAACAAATGATGTACCTCACAACATTTGTTTGTCATATAAATTAGCCAGTCCATACTAAAACATCTATTTGCACACATATTTTCTTTCTCCCCTTACGCCTTAACAGGGCTCATGTTAAAGAATTAATAGTAACAGCGCAAATTTAAACCACAAGTGTTTTTGTTGTTGTTGAGAATCATCTAAAAGGACAGACAAAATGTTAGTTTTTCTTGAAATCTGAAGAAATTATTGTGCATAACTCACCATTTCTTTATTTCCTCCATTATTTGATTTGCTACTCACTTAACACATTGGCATATTTTAAAGTCTTTGCCTTTAACTTCCTTCTTGTGCCTAATCATCTAGCTTCAGGCTGACTTCAATACAACTGTGATGTCTAGAGGGACAGTATTAACATATTTTCATACCATCTGCATGGTTATTCCTTCCTTGTTAAATCTTTTAGCGCACTGTGGATATTTTCCAGCACTGTGGTTTTTCAGAGGAAATGTTTTACATTTACATTGACTCTTAGCTGAGCGAGACTGAACTAACCCTGAATAAGTAGAAGTGGGAAAAAAATGAAGTCTAGAGAGCATAAATTTTATCCTGTGGAGAATGGGAGCATATTTATTTTCTAAGCTGATGGACTATAGCAAGGCACGAAACAGAAGAATTTTCAGGCTTGTCGAGATTCTATTTCCTGACCGTCTTATTTGGTGTATATCTGACACAAATGATAACATCAGCTATTTCAAAGGAAAAAAAATACCTGTTTATTATTAGAATGTCATGTATTTTTTTCTTGATAAACAAGACCCATTGTGTTTTTGCTACTGTTGCAACATGTCACCTGAATCTCACATCCAAGTATGTAATTTTAATAATCGACAGGCACCTGCTGTCAGTGTGTACAATCACACTTGGCCAACCACTGAGGCAGCTTTTTTACATATTCACTCTGTTAAGTCAGACATTACAGCTGAGCGCTACTTCTGAGCAACGCGAACAAACAACTGTGTAACCTCCAGGCCACCAGTGGACTGGCACTAATCATCAGAGTGAGTGACTGTTGATGGAATTAGAACAGCTTCCTCAAACTATTAAGAGAAGGGACAGAAAGACATGAACGGTGATGTTTTGAAGGGAGTTGTGGGCGGAGAGGCGGCAGATGCGAGGGTATTCATTAGCACCAAACTCAAGAACAAGACGAGTCCCCTTCTGTTCAACTGTGCTAGGAGAATTAGATGTATAGTCACTCAGCCAGACAATCATCAATTAAATCCTCAGTCTCAGACAACTAGTGAACTAAGCAGAAACAATGCTAGATAAATCTAGTGCTAGATTTTTATTTTTATTTTTTTTA